GACAAGACAAACTTTAAGTGAAGATTCATTGAAAAAATATTTTAATCAATGAAAATAATAATGTTTATATCCAAATTTTTCTAAATTTTTACCAAATTTTACCCAAATTTTTGACAGTCCCTGGTGGGGTTGACACCCTAGTAACAATACATGAACTTTATGTACATTAGATGGTTCTCTCTGTTAATCAAAACAAACGAATATACGCAATATTTTTAAAGTCATAAAACCTTTTATGTTAGGGCTATATTAATGACATAAGGAAACTTATTTCATACCAAAATTTTGTATTAGTGCGCAGAAGGTAGTTTCATAGACAACATTTTTGAGTTAATTTAAAAAACGTGATTTCACGCTTATTAGAAGAGATCTGATTGGTGCATTTTCACGGTTTTACTGATGGAAAAGCACGTTCAAAACTACTTACCATACTTTCTCAACAAACGCAGTGAATATTCTGCAATTAGCTTTTTTAAATACAATAAGTTTGCATATCGTGATAAAAAAATTGCTTATTTTGTGTTGAACAAGTGCTTGGAATATATGCGCTCGAGCTCAGATCAAGAATTAAAATCCAAAGCTTCCAAAGTAAAGGAAACTCTAGAGGTATACTTAGTAAACTTTACGTGTGTTTTATAAATTCAAATTAATATGATTCTCATTTTCTGATAGAACAAAAAATGTAAGAAAGGTATTAATGACTACTGGGTATTAAAAAACCAAGAGGAAAAAAAACAAAACATAGAAAAAAGAATAGAAAATGCTAAGAAACAGAGCCAACTGTATGATGTATGTTCCAGAATAACCTTCTAAATTCATAATCTTTCAAATTCAAAATTATTAATGAATCATCTTATTAGCTAAAACAACACGCGACTGTAAAACAACTAGTATATAAACAAGATAATACTGTTCGCGAAAATTTCAATGCAGAAATATTAGAAAAAAGCGATAGTATTCAAGATATCGAAAAGGAACAATCGTTGCTGCCTATTCCGAAATCTCATAAACGAAAAGCAAAAAATTTATCGGAAAATAAGGAAAATAAGGTACACTCCCCTGCCAGTGATCACCGGAATTTTATAATTACACAATGTTGATCATTTTTTTTTACAAGTTTTTACG